GTTTGCTTTGGGATTATTATTATTATTATTATTATTATTATTTTTATTATTATTTATTGTCAAAATTGTTTCTGTTGCTTTTTGTTGTGTCCACTATACTGCTGGCTAATGCCTAGGCAGACTATTTTTGTTGTTCTATTTTCTTTCATAAAAAGTTTTAACAATCTCGCAGTTTTGGCTGAGTACCATTTTTGGCATTGTTCGATTACTAATTTTGCCTCCTTCTCTCCTTCACATAGTCTCTTGATATGACACTCCAATTGCTTGCTGTAACAGCCTAGAAAGTCAAATACAACATTGATTTGATCTATTTCGTATCCACGATTTAACCGTTCCAGTGACTTTCTCATTTCAGAATACTTGTCTTGTTTTTCTTTCTCTCTCTTGGCAATACATCCAGGTGCACATATAGTCCCCTCTATCAAACTGACCTTTTTTCCTACTTTGTCAATTATCAGCATATCAGGCTTAATGGCATTGTTGCTTGGTCTTTTGTCTAAGTGCATCGGTATGTCCCACATAATCTTAGCACGATCATTTTCGATGCTTGCAAGAGGTCATGCTTGCTTGTACCATGGAACTCCACGATTATTTCCATCAAATTCAAACTTTGCTCGTATTAGATGATAAATAGGTCTTAACATTCTATCGTGTTGTGGCTTGTAGAGTGTTTGTGCTAATGCTGCACAGGAGCACAGCAAATGAACGACTGTTTCTTCTGCTTGCTTACATAGACTAAATGTTGTATTTGCAGTTTCCATCTTTAACTTGTACTTTGAATACGCTTTGGTAGGTAGTAACTGTTGCTTTATTGATTCATTTGTCGATTAGACTATATCTGGGATGTTTTTCCAGCTTCGAAAAACGTTTCTACTGTTTTTTGATATTTCATCACTATCTAGTATTGAAACCGTGTAGAATCCTAACCAAGGTTGGTTTCTAACTCTTTCTTCATATAGTCTTTGAATGATACTTCCTAGTCTGCGTTGGATCTGTATATAGTTGTCATCTTTTAACTCCACTCTTTCCTGTTCATAGCTTAATACAGACTTTTCCTCTAAAAGACTCAAGTCAGCTTTGAAATGTTCCTTTGCGTACCTTGTTGCTTCAACAAAAGTTGACTTGAAGTTCTTTTTGCTTTTGTAATGTTGGAACGAGCGTACCAGCTTTATTCTTGGATCTTTGCTTATGTTAATGTGATGTGCCACCTTAATTTTTGAGATCTTATAGGTATCCTCTACAGACTTGAAGCCCCTTCCACCACATTTCTGTGGCAAATAGAGCATTGCTATTGACTCTGAGATGTGTTTTCCTTTATGCATCTCGACTACCTTTCTGCTTTTCCTGTCAAGATTTTGAATATCTGCTATCAACCAATTACTTGTCCCCATGAAGTATTCTAATGTAGGCAAAGCAAAGACGATGCAAGCTGTCTGTTTTCTTGGTACTGACAAGGGTGATGACCATATAACATTCAATCTTCGTAGATACTCTTTTTCTGCTTGTTGGAACGTGAACTTGTCCAGCTGTTCGAAATTTTCATACTTTCCAAGAAATTTGTACTTGTCGCTAGATTCCATAACTGAGATGGAATCCTTTGCCCCTATTGGTAAATCTTCGCTCTTTGATACTTTCCCTCTAACTACATGCAAAGAAGCACACTTTTCCAGGCCCCAGGACATCCCAATATCTTCATACATTTCCTTAACTTTCTTTGTCACGACTGATATTTTGTTCTCTGATTTTGCATAGAGTTTCAAATCGTCAACAAATAATAGGTGTGTTATCTTCATTGTCCTGTCGTGCGTCAGTTGGTAACCCTCATATCCTCTAATCGTCCAAGCTATTGGGTCAAGACATAGTACAAAAAGCTTGACAACAAAGCTGTCTCCTTGCAGTATACCTCTCTTGACATTTATTGGCTCCAATTGTTCCTTTCCATTTACTGTATCGACGGTTATTGAGATTTTCCAGCCTTCCATTATGTTTTCTACAAACTTTATGATTCGTTTGTTTGTCTTATTCATTGATAACACCTTAAGAATCCAAGCGTGTGTCACGGAATCAAATGCTTTTCTTACATCAGTCCAAACCATTGATAAATTCTTTTTATTCACTTTTGCATCTTCTAGGATCATTTTGTCAATTAACATGTTGTCAGTGCATCCCATTACTCCAGGTCTACCTCCTCTCTGATCCATCTGTAGCGTCTTTAATGGTAGATATTCGCCTACGAGTGAAGTGATTGACTTGTACATCGTATTTAAGCAGGTGATGGGACGATGGTCAGGTGCTTTTGGTTGGAGCTTTTTTGGGTGTAGCCCACATCTTCCTTCAAGTAACCATGTGGGAATAGGTGTCTGCTTGTTAATCAGTTCAGTGACTGCTACCGATATACCTTCGTGTGTAGTTGTAAACGCTTTGAGCCAGTAATTCACTGTTTTATCTTTACCGGGTGACGATCAGTTTTTTTTCGTTTTAAGCATATTCGTGAATTTCTCCTTTGTGATATTTACAATTTCATCATCATTGACTGCTGTTGACTGGCTAATGGCTTGCTCAACGTCTTTGATCCATTTTGCTTCCAGATTTACCTTCGATTCTTCGCTCCAAATTTTTGGCCAGTAGTCTTCAAAATCTTCTTTGGTAAGTGTTGTTTGGCTTCCGGTTTTGTCGCTTCTTGTCTTAAAACTCACATCATCCGAGTCATCGTTTTTCAGGATTTCTCTCAACGTGTTGTATACTTTTCTTTGGTCTGTGTCATATAGCCTGTTAATTTTGTTTCTCACGATCTGGCCTTTTTTCTTTTCCTTATTGTATTTCATTGATTTTACCACACTAATCTTGTGTTCCCTTATTTGCAGTAACCCATTTAGGGTTATTCTACCCTTCAGTTCTCTTTTTATCCACCTCCTGTTTCTTCTCATGTTTCTCGTAAGTTTCTTATTATTCTTTATTCTCTGTATTTCCTCGGCAATTTGTGAGATCTTGCCCCTAATTTTGTTCATTTTTTCATTCATTCGTTTTTCCCAGACTGGAATTCCCTTTTGCTTTCCCTGGTTGTTGCTGTTGTTATTCCCATCTTTATGATCGCATGCTAACTTCCATCCACAAATCATTGCATACATTGCACAGTTCACATCCCACAGGTATTTCGTTGGTTCTTCCTTTGGGCTATGCATTTCCAAACCCATAAGAATTCCTTGCAGGTCTTGCAGTTCTTTACATGTTGGCTTCTTTTTTACATATGTGTTTAAACCACGTCTACTCCAGTCCCCAGGGATTGTTTTTACATCAAGATATTTTTGTTTGACTTTTTCTTGTATTCCTTTGAAATGACTGTCTAGCTCCGCATCTGGCGTAAAGGGTGGATTTTCAATGCTCCTTTGTTCGGTTCTACATTATTCAATGCAGCATTGTCTTGTATTTGGCATTCTGTTTGTTCTATTATCTCATTTTGTATTGTCTGTTGGTCTGTTATTGTCACCTTCTCAATGCGTGCAGCTTGGTCTCGCAAGTTCTGTGCTGTTTTGCCTAAATCTGCGTAACCAATTTCTTCCCAAAAGATTTTTGTGAGCTCCATCACTCCAGTCTTTCGTCCATTTGGTTTGCGTGGGCAGTCAGCTCTTGTATGGGTACTTTTGGCCCTTTCTCTGCAGTTGAGTAGATCCATATTCATTTTTGCGGTCCAATTTGTTTTTGATTGGCGTCGAGCATGGCTGCTTTGATGTTGTTCCCCATCTTCCATTCTGTATTTCGCTTTTGCGACTCCTGTTTGACTTTGGAAGTGTTGCAGGTCGCTAATTATACATTGGTATATAGATATCAATAATATAATTACATGCTCCTTTCCTAAAATACGCATAATGAGAGCATTATTTTAGGTTCTCGTGCGAGATTCCAAACACGTCCTCTCAGCACGGCGCCATCCGAATTATTATTATTATTATTATTATTATTATCTTCACATCATGCCTGCGTGACAGTCTATTTAATTTTCTTAAAGTTAACGGTCTCATTGAGCACGAAATACAAAAAGGCTTCACCTCTAATATTTCAGGGACCTTAGAGCATACTGCCATGATGGCTCAGGTCATAAACAAAGCTCGTATCAAGCAACGTTCACTAGTTGTCACTCTTCTCGATCTTAAAAATGCATTTGGAGAAGTACATCATAATTTGATACCCACTGTACTGTCTTATCACCATATCCCTGACAACATACAGCTTCTTATCTCTAGCCTTTACACCGATTTTAAAACCTCTATCATCACAAGCCACTATAATACTCCTGCTATTCCAGTCCGTCGCGGTGTTCTTCAAGGCGACTGCCTCAGTCCTCTACTATTTAATCTATGCTTCAACACATTCATACAGTACATAAAAGCTGAAAAATACAAACAGTTAGGTTTCTCCCCACATGATCAGAACGACCGTATGTTTCAACCAGTCCATTGGTTTCAATTCGCAGACGATGCTGCCGTTATCACCAGCAATGAGAAAGAAAACCAACTTCTACTAAATTGTTTCACTCGCTGGTGCCAATGGGCTAACATGATCATACGTGTCGATAAATGCATCACTTTTGGAATAAAGAAATTTTCCACACGTTCTCTTCAGTATCAACCTAAGCTTTTCATAAACAACGAATCTATCCCACCTGTCTCGAATGGAAATTCTTTTAAGTACCTCGGTCGTCATTTTGACTTTGAAATGACAAACCAAGAACATAAATCTGATCTTTTATCATCACTGTCCAACATGCTCAAGCAAATTGATTCCCAGCCTCTACATGCAAAAAATAAGTTGCTTCTTTATCACAACTTTGTTCTTTCTAAAATCTCTTGGAACCTTACTGTAGCAGATCTTTCAAAGACGTGGGTTGTCGAGAATCTTGACAGCCTCGTATCCAAATACATCCGCCAGTGGCTCGACCTCCCAATAAGTGCTACCTTGAGTAGCATTATTCTTTCTAAAAACCAGTTTGGACTCAGCCTAACTTTACCATCCGCCAAATTCCTACAGTGTCAAACTATTTTACGCAACGCATTGAAATCTTCACCAAACGATAACATTCGCTCTTTATGGAAAAATACCAGCAGTAGCACAAATATACAATATGATATATATAGGAACACGAAAGAAGCATTAAAGGCTGTCCAGCAAGAACATAAAGATCGTCTGCAAAACATTCTAACTTCCCAAGGATCTTTATTGTCACATCTTTTTAACCAGGATCTTCCACAAATAAACAAACTCTGGTCCAAGGTGCAAAGTAGCATGCCTCAGAATATTTTCAATTTCACCATAAGGTACCTGAACAATACCCTTGCTACACAGAAAAACTTGAAAAAATGGAACTTGAGCCAGACTTCTGATTGTTTTTTCTGTTTTCTGCCAGAAACCCTCCTTCACGTTGTTGCTGGCTGCAAAACATACTTGGAACAAGGCCGATACACCTGGCGTCATAACTCTATCTTAAACTTTCTAGCTACGTCTCTTAAAGCTGTTAATGAATCTACCATCTACGCTGATATACCTGGCTATCTTTCACCATCAATCATAACTGGAGAAAACCTTTGCCCAGATCTTCTCTTG